CCCTCCATTTATATACAGGCTATATATAGTTATTCATGTTGGTCCTACCCATTTTGGCGCCCCATTTGGGTCGGCGCCCGGGGCGGCCGCCCCACCCGCCCTCCCCTAGCTACGCCTCTGGTGGTGTATTTGAGAAATGTGTCTGTTGCGTGATGTCAAAAACCTACCGCCGATATAAATATTATCTCAGCTGAGTCCGCATCCCCCACAGCAGGGGAAGTAACTGTCTCTAACCACGTTGACTAAATTGTTTCCCTTGTTTTACTTCCCCCTTGCCTCCCATTCTTTTGTTTTTTGACGTTTCTATAAATAAAACAACGAGTGTCAAGGGGGATTATCTGTCAAGGGGGGCAGGGAACGATAACTCTTGTGGGAAAGACAAGACTGCTGTTTCTCTCTCGCCTTTGAGTTGTCCCGTCGGCCTCCGAGTATAAAACTAGTTTTGGTTTGAGTGGGTCAATACTTGAGTATTTTTATGAGGCAGGGTTTCTTTCAGGCATCTCTTCGGACGAAAAAGGAGATAAAAACATACATACTTTAACCAAGGTCCATTCCCCCATTCCCTGAAAGTTGCAAGTGCCCCCTCTCCCCTACACCCCCCCACCCCCCCCCCCCCCCCCCCACCCCCCATTTCCCGGAGAAAAATGTCTGACATAAATATTGATATGAAGTTTAATCGCATTACTAAGATATTGGAAGAAAAAAAATGGAGGCTAAAGCACCACTTCTCCCCACCCCACCGCCCAATCAACAAAGTAAACGAAAATGTAATTCTTACGATGTCCAGGATGCCTTCACTGAGTAATGTTAAAAGACACATTTCCTTTTAAGGGTACCAGCATCACAGACATGTTACAGAATTCATTGCTTATCGCAAAACTTGTTGAAACCGTTCATTTGAATAAATTTGAATTCAGCTTTTGGTGGGATACATTTTTGGTGTCCGTGTAGGCTTAAGTTTAGAGCGACTAATCAATCTAGTATTAAAACTATTATATTGTGATATATATATATATATATATATATATATATATATATATATATATATATATATATATATATATATATATATATATATATATATATATATATATATATATATATTTGTGTGTGTATATATATAAATATATTACTACCACTTATAAATATGGTAGATCCACCCCCTCCCCTTCCACCCTTTCTTACCTACCAATCTGAGCTATAAATAACTGGAAATCCCCCCAAAAAACAAATAAAAAGTTAACCTCGACGAATGCACCACACATGCAACGCAGCAAATTTCTTTTACCTGTTTTGATAATATTAAAAAAAACATGTGGTTTAATTACCCTTGACTGAATCTACAGTTATATTCCTAATCCTATACCTAACCATAGTGAATAGAAAAATCGTTACTCGTGGTGTATGCGATACGTTAATTTCGATTTCAAACTGAACAGATTCGAACATGCTTGAAGCTTAATTTTATTTAGATCATACATTGCCCAGAGCCTATGATAGAATAGTATATTATGGCGTGACTTGGACTTGGAGAGTAAAGAAGTAAATTAACATGGAGCAGGTGAAGTAGGGTTCACCTGTTTTAGTGACTACAACATGTGAATGATAGTGCTTTTACTTTCCCTAACATGAGTCAGGTACCCATCAGTGCTGACGTCCTATTAATGTCAGTGCAGGTATTCAAATGTTTTCTGTAATATTAGTAGTTGAAGTACTGTATTCTACATGTCAGCTTACAGTATACCATCGTCTCTTTTTTCAGCAGTAGTGCCGTTTGAAGTTTCTTTTATACATATTTTTTTTCCTGGGAAAGGGGGGGGGGGGGTTAAACTTCCGAGAAGAAAGGGTGGGGGCTAAAATAATTCCGGGGGCTTCGGATACTTGCAAAAGTATATATTCTCTAAATAATGTTTTGTTTTTTTTTTCGGCCGGGGGAGAGGGTGTGCTCTGGGGTGGGAGCAATGTCCCCTTTAAGCTGCGCGGTCGCGCGGCCGCGCAGCAGTTTTGAGTTGCCGCGCAGCGATTTTGTAAAATTAAAATATCATTGTGTAAGACTTTTACAACACCGCGCACAGAAAATACATTTTGCACATCAGCTTTTCCCCCTTAGAGGGAACATTGTTAACATTAGGTGGGGAACATCCCCGGAGAGTTACAGTAAGAGTACAATATGAAACTGTAGCCTGTACTTTGAGCAGCGGTACAGTAGGACAGTAAACCAGTTCTCTTTGAGGGCGGCTCCGTCCAATCGACAAGACCGTCTCACAGTGCGGCTCCGTCCAATCGACAAGACCGTCTCACAGTGCGGCTCCGTCCAATCGACAAGACCGTCTCACAGATCCGCTCCCGATCTCACGAGGAGACAATCGCGTCTCTGAGAAACAGGGGAGATAAGTAGGGCCAGGGGAGGCAATAACCAAGTGGTAAACACAATGATGGCCTGCCCTTTGATCCAGATGAGTTGCCCCCCCCCCCCCTATTGTCTGTGATGCCAGATTTACGATTACCTCGTCGGTGCTGGGACCAGGCGAGTAAGGGTGAGTTAGGACAAAGATGGGGGTGTGGGTATGAGTTGGGGTGGGGGGGGGGGAGGAGGGAGTAAATTAGTGCATATTAGTTCTATGAAGGAGAGGGTAAATTATGTTCAAAACAGTTTTAAAAGATTCCGCTCTAAATCAAGCTATCTATTGTTAAGATGAAGTACAGTTCGTATGTTTCATGACCTCGGCATATGACGGGATTATGTGGTCATCACTATGCACTGCGGCCTTTACATTCCCCCAATATAAGTAAGGTACCCATCAGAGCTGGGTGTACTCAGGGAAGTCCTACAGTCACAAGTCCGAACCGAGCTCCGAAACCTTCGGGCTAGCAACCAAATGCTCTACCGTTCGACCACGTCATCAAAAAAGTTTTATTGAACGTTATTCTTTGTTTCTGCGTGCAAAACAGTCAGTTAGTACTCGTGAATTTTATTCCGTATGAACGGTAATTAAAAAAAAAAAGTAATATAAAAAGTAGATTCATAGCAGTAGATGAAATAATATTTCCTCTATATGGTACCAGGTGTATTCGCTGGTGAAGTGGGAGTTAAGATTAGCAGAAACTTAAATATTTTTAAAATAATTTGGAGATACAATCTAAGATACATCGTTAGCAAGGGTTTAGGGGGTTGACGGTTGTTCAATTTTGATTTAGATAATGATAATCGTATGCGTGTGTTAGAGCGTACAACTGCTCACTCGAAAGTCTCCAGTTCGGTTCCCTGAATTAGGGAGGAGGAAAAGAAAGGGAAAGTGGGTCATAGAGCTGACCACGTTATCTCTTCAGATGCTGATGTTGTAGATACAGATGAACTCTACTTAGTCTGCCATAATCATGAATTATAACCATTAATTCCAATATTAATTATCATATTGAAATTCAACGATTACATCATATCACTTAAAATAATAGAAACGAGACTGTCCATAAAATGATAGATTGAATAAAGACAATTCACATTCGAATTTTGAGTAAACACCTACAGTACTCCCAGTCCTCCCCGTTCTCATCTTGTTGTCATTATGCACATACACGCTACCTGTAAAGTACGGAGGTTCGAAACCATAGACTTTTCACACCTGTAGAATATTTTTTTACTTTGATTTGTCCACCCCACTCACATCTGCTCACACACCTCACAGATAAATACTAAGAGAACGCATAGGGATTTGAACACCGCTCCTTTAAACACTTTACTCTAACAACCTGACCTCTACCCCAACCCACTCTCCCTCACCCCCAGCAGAACAAAGTGAGACTCGCGCCGTACACCTCTCACCCTCACACTCCGTCTTGTCCAGTACCTCCATATCTGTTCCTTATTAATTATACCCTCACCATACTTCTCCCCCACCCCAACAGAACAAAGTGAGACTAGCACCTTTCTCTCCTAACCATCGGCTCAGTACCTCCTTATCAGTTCCATCAATGTTTATACCATCACCGACTTTCTCGCCCGTCCCCCACCCACTCCCTCCCCACCCCAACAGAACAAAGTGAGACTAGCACCTTACCATCCTCACCATCTTACCTCTACAACGTCTAGTACCTCCCTATCAGTTCCATACCATCACCGACTTTCTCCCCCGTCTTCCACCCACCCCCACCAACACTCCCCACCCCTTCCCCACCCCAGCAGAACAAAGTGAGACCTGCTCTTTACTCCTCTTATCCCTACATCTCAATCTTCCCCAATACCTCCATTTCAGCTCCATGTTTATACCATCATAAAAACTTCTCCCCTTTCCCCACCCCAACAGAACAAAGTGAGACTAGCACCTGTCTCTCCTAACCATCTTACCTCTATAATGTTCAGTATCTCCCTATCACTTCTATACCAGCAGTTCTATACCTGTCCTACACCCACCCCCTCCCCACCTCTTCCCCACCCCAACAGAACAAAGTGAGACTAGCACCTTACCCTCCTCACCATCTTACCTCTACAACGTCCAGTAGCTCCCCATCAGTTCTATACCATCACCTACTTTCTCCCCCGTCCCCCACCCACCCCTTCCCCCACCCCAGCAGAACAAAGTGAGACTAGCACCTTACCATCCTCACCATCCTACCTCTACAACGTCCAGTAGTTCCCTATCAGTTCCATACCATCACTGACTTTCTCCCTCGTCCCCACCCACTCCTTCCCCCACCCACCCTTCCCCCACCCCAACAGAACAAAGTGAGACTAGCACCTTACCATCCTCACCATCTTACCTCTACAACGTCCAGTAGCTCCCTATCAGCTGTATACCATCACCGACTTTCTCCACCGCCGCCCACCCACCCTTTCTCAATCAGTTCTATACCATCAGTTCTATACCTGTCCCACACCCACCCACCCCCCCTCCCCACCTCTTCCCCACCCCAGCAGAACAAAGTGAGACTAGCACCTTTATCTCCTAACCATCTTTACAACGTCTAGTACCTCCCTATCAGTTACACCAATTTTATACCAGGGTCCATGATATGCCTGGGTCGGTCAAACTACTTCCGGTTCAACCACCCACAGGAGGCCGAGAGGATGAGGGACCCCAACTTCAACTTCCGGATATCGAACGTGACCCCGAACTTCATGGAAGGTCAGTTGCATCACGTGACAGCAATGATGTCTATAAATAGATTTTCTCAAATCCTTACCCACACAACCTCAACTTCTCGACTAGCAGCTGTCTTAAAACTAATTTTCTTTTATTTAAGTATTCAAGCCTAATAGTTTTGTCAAAATTCGCTGTTTTTAAATATTAATTTTTTTTTAAAGATTTTCATTAAATTTATTTTTAGTTTTTGAAATATTTATTGTGAAAAGGCCGACACAAAATTGTGTCGTTTATGTCTCTAGGGCAATTTAATTTTGCCTAAATAGTAGTATATTTTACTTTCGTTTAAAATTATTTGAATATCATTAGAAATATTACAAATTTGTGTTCCTTGATTATTTTATAAAGAACAAAGAATCATTATTAAAATACGACGAAACTAGTAGGGGATGCCACTTATGGTTTGTTTTCTATTGTTTTAAAATTTAAACGGTTACCTCCCATTACTTCTAGGTTGGTTGTTTTTTCTTCCTCCGCTGATTTAACTACCGATTACACGTTATTTATATTATAATTATATTATAATAGTTCCTGATGAACGCAAGTGGGCTGTGTTGAAATTCAGTACGACTTACACATAACTAATAATCGCTTGCTAAAAATTATGTAACGGACATCATTTGACTCAAGGGAGGTAGCCTGCTTGCTGCCATTTAATCGGCTAATGCGAGATTACCTGCCCCTTACGGAGATAAAATTTTTATCTTGTATTTGAGTGAATAAAGGGAGATGATTTTACCCGCTGATTTATTCAAGGGAGATCAAACTGAAAGGTAGGATGCAACGAAAGCTTATGGACAAAACAACAATTAAAACAAAAATTCACTATTAAAGATACAACCTGAAATTTATTAACTTGTATTGGTTATTCCAGTTTTTTCAAGCGACCCCACTTTTTTTTAAAATTAGGATTAATAGCGCTATATATTCATAATTTTAACCGTAGTGTATTTCACATACGTTTAATTCTATTAAGATTATGATAATTAATAAATTACCGCTTGATATGTTGCGGTTATCGTGTTAAATACATTTTCTATTAAAAAAAATCGAAATGGTGAACGTTCCAAAACAAAGACGCACCTTCTGCAAGGGCAAAAAATGCAAAAAGTACACAATACATTAAGTTACTCAGTACAAAGCAGGAAAGGCGTCTTTGTATGCCCAAGGTAAAAGACGTTATGACAGAAAGCAGAGCGGTTATCGTGGTCAGTCAAAGCCAGTTTTTAGAAAGAAGGCTAAAACCACAAGAAAAATTGTCCTTTGTATGGAGTGCACTGAATGTAAATATAGGAAACAATTACCAATCAAGCGCTGCAAACACTTTGAGTTAGGAGGAGACAAGAAAGGGACAGATGGTTATGTTTTAAGATAAATAAAATCTGGACAAAAAAAAAATCGAAAAAATCAAATAAAAAAAAAAACATGAAGTATAGTTCATCTTCCTCAGAGACCTTAGCGTATGATTTGGGATAACGCGTTCGTCACGATGCTCAGCCACCTTAGGTTACCCAACGTAAGTTGGTTACCATCAAAGCTGGGTAGGCTCAGGGACGTTCCATTGATTTTAATCCCCTTACAACTCGACACTCGAGTTAGCAGTCAAGCAGAGTTGTGTGTTCGCTTTAGTATTACAGTTTTCATCATCGGCTTGTGAGGACTGATACAGATTTACAATAGTAATATTTCTTTCTTACTTGCAGCCTACTTTCATTCATTTAAGATCTAACACAAAACGTCTAAATAAAAAAAAAAACACCTGAAAATGCAAATGTGTAATTAAATGATGATTCAAGGGATTTTTTCCCTCGGCGTGGTGGGTGAGGGGGGGGGGGGGGACAGGGTGGAATTTGGGTTTTTAAGTAGAGCTGAAATAAATTTGTGATTACAGAGAATTAAAATGATACAAATTTTAAGCAATCGGAAAAGTTATGTTATTACAATGAGACACATCAAAGCAAACATTCTTCCCTTTCAAACATCTATATCTATACAGTCCTCAAACAGTTTATTTTTTATTAATTACCAAAACAATGATTTAAAACCTAACTCGCTCGTTGTTAAATCCACTAAACCGCCTGATAGTATTTGAACTCGTGATCTTGTGTCAATGGTAACAATTAACAACACAATACATGGTCCCACTCGGCTAGGATAAGTATCATCTCGTTAAAGCTGTAGCCTTTTCAGTGTACTGTACTCTGTGTTCAGCACTCGCTTAACTCCCTTTGTTCAACTAATTACTCAGGCACGCTAATGATTTTATCTCTCACCATGAATTACCGCCATGGGGAAAAAAATAATGATAATTAGGCCTATACACGCCGGCGAAGTTAAACATTTGAATCCTATATCGATACTAAAAATTCGCCGCGTATTCGATACCTCCCACCCTCGTCCTCGCCTCGCTAAGTCACTGTGTCAACTTGGTTCAGGGGAGGTAAAGGAAAAAAGTTTGGCCCCGATTTTCGTTCATACTCGACTATTGTTATCGTTCTTCAATGGGGCCCGTTGGTGTGTGTGTATGTGTGTAGGCCCAACTTGTTGGCGCTAGGTGAATCTTCCTGGCTAACACACAGCAGTCGTCTGACTCGTGTGTGTTGTTTAGTTACTCGCTACGTTCGTGTTCACTGGATATAGAAACTACCTCATGTTTTAATTCGGCTGCCCAGAAAAAGGGTGGCAGTTTGTGGATATAGTTTGCGGTACGAGGTAAGTTGGTTGATGATTTTCACGCGAAGAAGACAACAGGTGTTCGTCAGGTGTCTAGACGTGCGAGACCAGTGTGTGTGTGTAGTTTGGCGAGGCGGGAAGACAGCTGTGTTGCTTGAGGCTGTTGTCGAGTGAATTATGTGACTGAGTTTTATGTTTTTTGTGGCAACCTTCTGACTGTAATTTTATATCATTGGATCTTACGTATTGGAAAAAAAAATTATAATGAAATAAAAAAGACCTGACAGTCTACATTTAACATTTAGTCTATCGTTTAAACTATATCAAGACAGGCCAACTATAAGCCTAATAATTTATTAGGCCTAATTAATATACTATAGGCCTAGATCTAGTCTACATTATTTAACAATATTTAGACCTATAAAAATATAATAAATATCAGGAAGCTAAAATAAAAAAAAAATTAAAAATCCACTACTGACTACTGTGATTATGATTGGTCTAAATTAAATTCAAATTACATGTAGATCTAGATCTGCATTTACTATAGGGCCTACTTGTACCAGCTCAGTAGATTTAGATCTAGATCTAGACTATATACGTTAAGGAGAGTTCTAGCGCACTAGAGTGTCTTAACTATAATATCAATGGGACTATTTTTAAAAAAAAATTCTTCTTAATTCAAATCTAATCTTGGAAGACTAGCTAAGTTAAACTAAACTGGAATATGAAGCTAGTTTCTAGATATCTAGTACTATCAGACAATTGACTATTTCAGTTCAAACAGCTATAACTTCCTTTTATTTGTATATATCTAGATCTAGCGTCAATAGGCGTTTTCAGTGGCGGAGTTGATGGGGCAGACGCACCCCAGATAACTTTTATAGAAAAATCGGCTTTCTCGAATATTTAGTCAATAAGAAATTTAAACAAAGTCAGTTAAAACATTTTTTTAAAATCCTGTAGCCTAAAAATAGTTGTATAATTATAATGTAAAAATGTGCTTTTTTGATGCACCCATTGCTCCCTGTGTACAGAAAATCTGTCTACATTCCTGCCTTTATCACTAAATTTGAATAGTGCCCTACATTAATTACTAAACGACTATCATTACAGTGTATTCACTTCCTCGTTTTATATTTAAAATTAAAAAAAAAATATCCAATGAACAATATTTAACTTGTAGAAGTCTTTACGGGTATTAGTGGACGTAGCCAGTAGCGTAGCGAGGGGGGGGGGGGGGCGAGGGGGACATATGTCCCCGGGCGCCGACCTTAGGGGGCGCCAAAATGGGTTGGAAAAATAAATTGAAAGGTTGAGAGGGGTGGAAATCGAAAGTTTGAGGGGGGTGCAAAGAGAAAGTTTGAGGGGGGGGGGGTGGTGCAAATCGAAATCTTGATGGAGGGGGGTGCACATCGAAAAATTTGTCCCCGGGCGCCGGGAAGGGTCGCTACGCCTCTGGACGTAGCTTTAGGTTACACAAAGTCGGAACCCTAAAACTGTATTGTTGGATTCCGTCGTCAGTATCGACTACGGCGGTACTAACTGTACGAGCAAGTATCTGTAGTACTCAATGAGTACATGCGTCTGAACAGTGTCTGCATTTTTATAGCATGATAATCTCTCGCATGGATTTCGCCAGCCCTTTCAGAGTTTTCTTACAGGCCTCTCTTTGGTGGGGTGGGGGGGGGGGGGGTCGACGACGACAACACTCCCCCCTCCACACACCAATTTAAAGCATGTTTACTGCCCCCCCCCCCCCCCCATCATCTCACTGGGACGAAATGAAAATATACATATTTTAATTATCATCTGCCCACCCCTGGAAATTTTAAGAGTCCCGTCCCCCCCCCCCCCCCCAAACAATTTTAAGCCCATTTTCCCCCAACCCCGCGAATAAAATTGTCTGAAAGAAACCCTTTTTGACCATCGATTCGTTTTCGTATACACCCATACGCTGGCGTGACACGTTTTCGTATACACCCATATGCTGGCGTGACATTTGGCTCTGTCTAGAATGTGTCATTATGTTTTTACAACAACAAAAAACATGTTTCACACAACAGGATGAGTCAAGCTTAAATTATGCAACTGTATCATTTTATGCACTGCGACTTTGTCAAACGTTAGATTAGGTAGCCTGCAAACAATGAACCATTTTAAAGGTTGTTTTTACTTTCTCGTATATACGAAGTATAGAGAAAGTCTTGTAATCGTGCAAAAAAAAAAAATCGAGATTTTTGCAAATCTCGACGTTTTGCATCTCACTGATACGGAAAAACATAATTTTGCAATCTTGTCCGTATGTC